GCCGGGGGGAATATGCTGTGGAATCCAATTGAAAAGATGTAATGACTAATGGTTTATTGGGAATTAAGATGAGGGAATAAAGGTATATTCTAATCATTAAGGTGTCACACTCAAAATAGTAAAAGTGGGGAAACTTATACTTGTTCTTTTTTCTTTTTGTGTGGATGTGTTAAGATCTGTATTAATTTAGAATTCATTAAAAAAATGTGTAATGGAAAGGGAATATGACAGACTAAATAACCAGCTAAATTAATAAGTTTAATATAGATTATTAAAAGCAAGGAGAGACATTGGTAACTTCATTATTACCACTATTAGGCAAATATATATTGTTTATTTTTATTTTTAAAATAAATATTAAGGATTATATTTGAAATAATTGAAATGAAATTAAAAAATGTTTAGATTGGGATTAATGAAAGAATTTAGAATTAAACTTTATTATTATTTATTAGGCAAACACATATTGTTTATCTTTATGTTTAAAAACAAATACTAAAGGATTATATTTGAAATAATTGAAATGAAACAAAATTGATTGAAATTAATGAAAGAGGCTAGAATTAATGTGTTTGTTTCTCTCCTTACTGAAAATTTGGAATGGAAAAGGTAATAATAGAATTAAGTATGCATATATCAATGTATAATTTCTGTCATATTTGTATGTAAAGATGATGACCCGGAAATATGTTGTCCACTAAAAAGAGATTTTTGTTTTTAATGTGAAAACTGAATAAAGTCTGTTAAAAAAACAAACATATAAACTACAGCTATAGACATAAAGATCTCTTTCACACAAATTTGCTTGTGTGGTTTTCTTTTGAAAGAAATATCAAATACACAGTATCATGAAACAGGCCTACTTATATCCTGCCTGTGCTGAGTCTGCCTTCTCAGTTTAGTTGTTAATACTCCAAGATTAACTTAATTATGTCCTTCAAGCACACACACTCACACACACAAATTTCTGCAGGAACTCAGTGGTTCACAATGGACCTTCCTTCACATTACCTTCACAAAAGCCCTGTGAAAAAAGTTGTGCTGAAAGTCTTCCCAGAATTTTCCAGTCTGGTTTTCAGTATTTAATAGCCTCAACTGCTTTAAAATTCTTATAATTCAAATACGACTGTAGTACAATAACTTTGTACTACGAATATATTGTTTTTGGTGTTACTGCTGTTGCTTAGCAATGAAATTCATATAGAAATTTTATAACACTTCATGAATGGTATCCAAATAGATTTAATAGGTAATGAATAATAGTAAAAGTAGAAGCTATTGTTATTGTTGTTGTTCTTCTTGCCTAGTAATTACTGTGATCCAATGCACAATCATTCATGAAGACTGTAAGTAACTGCTTGGAACTTCTGTAAACTTCCAGCCATCTTGTCTTCTGCCAGTCTTTTTTTCCTATTACCTTCTATTTTTTTCAGTCAGAGAATTGTTCAAGAACTCTTATTTCTGCATTATGTTTCCAAAATATATCACTTTTAGCTTCATTGTTAGAGTTTGAATTTTCTGGCTTTATTTAATCTTCTTGCTGTCCAAGGTACTCAACAATTTTCTATAGCACCGCTAAAAAAATAATTATAATTAATCATGATCCCTGGATGCAATTCAGATATAAGTAAGTGCCATGGAGACTAGTGGACCTGAGCAAAGGAAATAATTCCGAAGAATTAGCAATGGACTTTTTATGTATATTTATGTATATTTTACTGAGACCTCCATTCCATTGCATACTCCAAGAATCCATGGAGTCCATTGCAAACTTCATAAATCCATGAAAGCCATCCATTAAGCTGAAAGACTCAAGATTTCTTCTCCACAATTTATGAGCAAAGTTTCTTTTGTTCTTTAATGGTAACCTAAAAATATGATCAGGAAGCAAATAATCTGATTTCAGTTTCACTATAGAAGCAAACAAAATATTTTAAAAGAGTTATAAGAAAGACAGAGAGAAAAGAATGTTATCCAGCAAGGAAAAATGGAAAGAATAGAGGAAAATATACTGTATGTCTTTAAATACTGATGAGTAGGGTAAGAACAGAAGAAACAGTAGGTTGAAGATAACATAGGAACTGAGCATCCAGGATTAGGAGATAAATGATTCTTTTTTCTTGGATATCTATTTATCTCTTATTTATCTAACAGTCTCTATTTTGCATCATGTTTGGGTCCCAGACATCTACAGGCCTTTTCTTGATCTATAAGATCTCATAGGGAACATGCCCAATAGTTCCATACTTCTGAAAGGGAGGGAAGGGGGAAGAGATGAGATTAATCAGTGTTGTTTCTTTGTAGCTATGCCTTTACCTTGGAATGGCCTCTTATTTGGAGATCAGATTCAATTCCCTCCTTACCCTTAGTAAACTAATTATCCTAGACAACATTTTTCATGATTTTGCTGACTTAATTTGTTATGGTACTGTTACTATTTCATTTTCTTTTATTTGTTGTCATTTATATTGGCATTCTACAGATTTAAGCTTTTGTGTCATTGTATTTACCCTGTTTCCCCAAAAATACGACCTACCCTGAAAGTAAGTTCTAGCTTGATATTTAAATGTGCACCCAATATAATCCATCTCCCCAAAATAAGCCCTAATTAAGTCCCACCCACTCCAGAGTGTATGGGTAAAAATTAAGCTAGGGTGGGGATGGGAGGGTGGAGCTGCCCTACTACTTACCTTTAGACAGTTGTAGCCAGGCCTCGCACACACCGACACCTGCCTTGCCAGCCTATTTCTTCTGCAGCCCACCAGGCTGGCAAGGCTTTCCTGAAGGCCTCTGTAGCTGATAACAAAGCTCTGGGTTGATCTGGAGCTGTGTTATCAGCTGCAGAGGCCTTCAGGAAAGCCTTGCCAGCCACAGAAAAAGAAGCTCTGAAGACCTCTGATAGCAAAAAGGAGGCTGGGGGCGATGCGCACAAGTGAGGATAGTCAGTGGATGACATCCCCCAAAATAAGACCTGGTGCCTTTTTTGGTGGCAAAAAAAATTATAAGACAGGGTCTTATTTTCAGGGAAACACGGTAGTATAGGTTAACTGAACAGACCAATATATAGATCCAATAAATAAATATGTAAAATGACTTGTTTTTGTAAGTTAAGATCATTTATCAATATTTAATCCATTCTGTGATAATACATTTCATATTATTCTTGGGAAATGTTGTCAAGAAGAGATTAGGTGATATTTGAATTGTGTCCTGAAGAAAGTCACTATCTAGACCCCTTTTATGGAGGTTATTACATTTGAACTGGAAATGCCACCATATGTTGTAATTAATCACCTTTGCACAAACTAGATGGGGTAGAGTACCTTTTATGGTTCTATTGTGCCTTTTGTTGGCATTCAGTATATCAGTCATGATATCCTTTTACTCTATCTGTCATGTTTATATATAATTCCTAGACAGATTTGACTTATTAGTAGTGACCTGTCCATAATGCTACACACACATAGCAATAGCAATAGTTCTTAGACTTATATACTGCTTCATAGTGCTTTACAATCCTCTCTAAGCGGTTTACAAAGTCAGTCTATTGCCCCCAACAATAAGTGTCCTCATTTTATGAGTCAACCTTAAATAATCCTTGCATTAGCTAGGAAGATATAGAGGCCAGGTATGAATGAATGAAGATATAGAGGCCAAGTAGGAAGCATGTGAATGGCTAAATATTTCCTTGTAATTAAGACCTGAAAATTCTGCCTCAAGAAAGAGAAACAAGCTACTGTGAAGTGAGGTGAGGTGAGAATTAGGGAGGATGAAGGGAAAAGGGAATGATTGAAACCATTAAACATATTAAGGGTACAAATAAGATTCTAAAGGCAGTATTTTCAATATTAAGTAAAAACCAAGATGGGGATATAACCTCAAACTGACAGGATGGGATTTCAGTAATGTTGGAAAGTATTACTTCACAGAAAGAGTAGTGGAAGCTTGGAACCATCTTCCAGTGGAGGTAGTGGGTCAATCAACAGTAACTGAGTTTAAAACATGCTTCGGATAAACATACCTCCAATAGCTTCCTGCTAGGTATTTTTTTGTTTTCAGGTCAATCAGATTTTTAATTATCTGCCGCATCTGAGGAATCTGCTAGAATTCTACAAATATTTTTACTTTACTTCTTTTACTTTGCAGAATGTTAAGAATATTGTTGGAAGCTTGAGTTGCGTCATTTGGAAACCTACAGCGATCAAAGACTAAATTATCTTTTTTTAGATTAAGGGCATTTGGGAGATGGTTTGAATTGCCATTCTTGATGTCAGAAGCAACAAAATGTAGACTGGTCAGAACAGTCAGCTTAATTTTCAGGACGTCATACCAATTGTGTGGCACATGTATAGAAGCAGTGCCTCAAAGCAACAGTTTAATTTGTTATTTATAAAACTATTACATTTCTGCTAGTTCTGCTAGGGATAGAGGTATGGTTTGGAAGGAGGGTAGCATCTTTTACATCCAAGGTACTCCTATTCAGCAGTTGGAAAGTACCTAAGAGGACGGATTTCAAAAGAACTCCTTTCCAATGCAAAACTGCATCCAGAACTTCTGAAAATTCTTCCAACTGTCACAGAAATGCCTCAAGTTTGTTTCCTCAAGGCTAAATAAATAATTGAACAGAATATCCTTTCAACTGATTTCATGGGGTAAGATTTGAGATCAGCTCAATTCCCAAAGCCATCTAAAACCCATGTGCAGTTTAGCTGCGGCTTTTCAAGTCTTTATACTCACTCCCATCAATTCTAACCAACAGGATCAATGACCATCACTGATAAGCTTTGCAGTTTGGCATGAGACCCACAGCTCCGCATCCCCAAGGCCAATTTTTGGGCGTTAAAATAAAGGAGGATACTTTAGCAACGCCAACTCGAAAGGCATTTTGGTACGTCTCGCTTTTCGCACCAGCACCGCGGAGATCAGACCCCAAACGAGCCACAAGAGAAAGGACCAAAGGAAGGGGAAAGAGGGAGGGTACGGAGCGTCGACTTTCTTACCTGAATGTCTGGAAGCAGTCAAGAACCTGGGCGTTCTCTCCCTGGAGGTCAAGGAAGAGCTGACTTTGGCTTCGCGGTCCAGAGCCTCCGAGGAATAAAGAGCGCCGCCGTTGGCGAAGCGCCGAGCGATGACCCGTTCCGCCCTGAAAGGGTGAGAGGCTGCCTGGGAGCTGCTGCTGTCCACCAGAGCTTTGAGCAGCAAGTCGAGCAGCGTTTTCCGATCCCCGTGGATCGGCCCTTGGGGACCTTTGGCTTTGCTTTGGAAGGCGGCGTCTCTATCGCTTTCCAAGCGGGACGTCCGCGCCGAAGTGAGGACTAGAAAGAAGACCAAGGTAGACAGCACGTGGCGGCGACGGCGGCATTTCGTAGCCCCGGGCATCTCTCGGTCGCCTGGGAGGAGAAAAGAAGCAATAACCCGGCGGTTAGCTTTCCTCCTTGCCCATCCGGAGAGTTTTCCTCATGATGCGAGGGAGCGGGGAGTGAGGGGGGGGGTCAGGGCGCGCCGGCCGGGAGCGATCTGAAGAGGTCACTCACGGCCACGGGACAGCACGAGATGAGTTATAGCAGCGCCTCCTGCTTTGGACTGCTCCCGGAGGGGCAAAGACACGTGACTCGGCTGGGGCGCGCGCACAAGTGGTCGGTGATACCGCTGCCACAGCTACAAGTGTTTGATTCGCCCGGCCACGTCCGAAGAAATAGTCCCTGGGGGGGGGGGGGGGGGGGGGGGGGGGCGGGAACGGAGGGGGGCTCGCGAATCCCCAGTCGGGCTGGTGCTTCCTTAGAGTCCGTTTCCTGGGAGCGACCGCGGAGACGATTGGGGAGAGAGGCACTTCTTTGACTGATCAGTCCCGCCAGGACGATCCCGCCCACCGCATCGCCGCGGCGGCTTTGCTTTTCAACTTATGTAGCTATATAGTTTATATCCAAGATTCTGAGAAAAGAATAGTCAGCGAGGCGTCGGGCACTGCAATCTAAGGGATGTGGCGGGAATGGCTGACGGGTATTTTCTCAAAGAGTCCTTGAAACTTTTATGCGCTCGAAAGATTTATTTTCCCGCGGAGTTCGGATACTGAGACGGAACATGCTCGACAGTTCCACTTCCTCACGAGACCGAAAGGGATGGTCAGGAGGATCTGAGCTACATATTCCCTCAGGAACACGCAGTTGATTAGACAAGGCAGTGCAGCTGCATATGTATGTATTTCAATAATAACTGGAGGGCCTGAGGTGTTGTTTAACGGTAGGATTCTCCACCGCACTGACAAACTGCCGCTTCAGATTTACTTCTAGGACCTGAAAACCATTTGCTTTCCCTTCTGTTTTTCAGATCAATTAATAAAATAACAATGCTAACGGTGTTTGCTCTGATAATTTCACAGCCTTACGGGCACCTGTCTCGGTACAACGCCTCACGATCTGTTCTTGTTCAGTGCTGTGGCAACTCCTGTTTGGAATCGCACATAAAAACCATTTCTGCGGGCTGAAGTTCACCGATTCAGTCTTTAATAGTCTTAAGTACGTAAATAGCCTTCAGTTCCAGACAAAAAGGGAGCTAGCTGACAATTCGTTCAGTTAACTCCGAATCTCTCCCAAGGACTTTTCTCTACTTTCAAAGTACGAAGGAAGACCGGGAAATCTCCCTAAGTCCCAGTGTTGGAAATGACGGACAGGTGTGCATTCTCTGGGAACAGACAGAGTTCTCCCGGGAAAGTGGCATCCCCAAAAAGAAGATGAAACAAATCCCCCCATCCCTTGAATCCCGTTAAAGGTTTGCCTGGTATTAGCAAAACATTTCCAACCCTTATCTTATATATATAGGGCATGAAAAGACAAAACAAACCTGACCACGTTGTCTCTTGATGCAGGGATCTTCTTCCTCCCACTAAAGATTTGTCAGCCTCCTTGAGAGCCGGCTGGAGGCAACAACCATAGACCTGGTTTATATACTGTAGTTTCCTCGCCGCCTGTCCGTTAGAGTGCTATCGACTTTAGGTGGGTGGCAGGCAGCGAAACTTTCTCTTAATCATTCTTTCTTGGCTCAACGAGGGTCTTTTTTCTTACCTGACAAACTTCTTCCGTCCCACTTGTCCCTCCTGAGAAGCCAGTTCAGAGCCATCAACTGAGATGACTCTTACCTACTTGTGAAATTAAATTGTCACCCAGATTAGGGGATGTTTCAGACTCCTTGGTCCAAGTAGGGTTTTTTTTCCCCCTTTTCTTTCATCTCCCCCCCCCGCCCCATTTTTTCTTTCCTTCTTTTAGCTCGACTTTCTGGTACAGATATAATTAGGAGGATAGGGACAGAGCTAAAATAAAGTCTCAGGAATACAAAGAAAATGGCCTCTGCCACCTCCAAAAAAAGAGCCCTTTGTGCACACATTTCTCACAGTTGATCTAAGCTTAGAGAAGATAACAATGTGGGTTTAAGTAAAAGAAACAGGAGTAGTCCGTTAGAAGTTCAGATTAAGATTATGCATGCTGACTTCGCTAATAGACAATGGGAGTCTTTGGCATTTTAAGTTATGCGGTTTTTTTAGCATACTTAATAATGTGGAAGGAAAGCAAAATATGTGAATAAAAACAATATGAAATTATATACTATATAAAATGAAAAAAGGAATAGCTTTTTCATTACATCACTATAATATGACAGTACTGTAGACTGGAAGTGAGAAAGAGAAAAGATTTTTCAGAAAAAGAAATATGGACTACTCTTGAAAAGGTGAGAGGCTATGAGGAAACTTCGGGGTTACAGACCAATAGCCTTGAAGCAATTTGTGTAATATGGATATGTCCATGAAGTGATCAGGTGCTGAGCTCAACTAAAAGGTGTCTTTCTTTTTATTGATCCTTTTAAACCAAGTCTTGGTATGTTAGATTTGGAAAGCCTCATTTAATTGAGTAAAAATTAGTGATAAGGTTAAATGCTTTAATACATGTACACTTTTTGCTTTCCCTCCTAACTATACTGAAGACTGATCCTTTGGACTTTTCTTTTCAAATGTTGCGATTTGTTTACACATGATTTGTGAACGCTCTTTGAAAACAACATTTTCCAGTAACTCCTTAGAAATGTGATAGTTTTATATACAAAAAATATTTGAATAGGCCAGTTTCCTATATGTACCTTAGCATCACCCAGCCATAACTGACTAGATATAAAATCTTCATTCTTGAAACATTGGCCTAACAATGCAAAGTGACTCCAGATACTATAACTCTAGCAGCAAGGCGAATGTACTAGCTTGGATATTGTCTGTTAAGTAAATCTTGTCTTCCAAGGTTGGGTAAACAGGCACAAAAGAATTGCATACGTGTATAAAGAGTTCCAAGTATATCAGAATACTTACATTTCCCAACAATTGGTTGTGTGGATGTGGGTGCAATCATTCTGACACATAATCAAAAGGGATACTGGACTCTGAACAGCATTAAAGCTCACAAGATCATACCTCTGGAAAAGTAATACAAGGAAGCTCTAAGCCCTTGCTATTAGTCATAGAGTGTTTGACAGGATGGATTACAGAGCGCAAGTAACGATGCAGCAGAGACTGGAAGTGAGGTTGAAGAATTCCATTTCTACTGTGTTATAAGTATGATTGATCAGGCAATATCAATACCCTGCAAAACCCAATTAGAAATATTCCTTTCACATAGTACAGACCATTAATACCAGTCTGAGAAACACTGATTAACAAGCTTATATCAAGTTTATCTTATCAATTGCCAGCTATATGGATTGAACTGTTACTAATGAGACTCCCAAGCCATCATATCCAGGTAAATTGGGACTACGACTCCTTGAATTTATAGTTAATCTTTACTCAGGATCACTTCTAATAATTAAAAGTATGCTATCTAAAACAAAACACAAAAAAGACAAAACTTGTTAAATTTGAAGTTGAGAAGTAAGATTAATCTTTCTCTGTAAGGAGAAAAGTGAACCCTGCATATGTATGTATTTCAATAAATTCATTCTAAATATTGAAGACATTCTATTAGAAGCTAGCAAGCTTTAAAATAAAGGAATGTTAGGGGAGAAAGCAACTTTTTTCAACAAAGGGCTATTATTTTGCAAAATAGCAAAATACAGTTATGTGTTTAATGTAGTTATATATGATATTTTGGAGAAAAAGAATACCAACAGCCTACTTTCACAGTGTTGAGCTATAACTTTACTGAATATATTAAATAATCTTTTTATAGTTGGCCTTCCTAGGTTAGTACTTTCCAGATGAGTTGAGATGACAACTTCCAGAATTAACAAATGCCAAAGTTTATAAACCTAGAAGTTTCAAACTGAACAAAACTAATGCTGTTTTAATCAGATTGTACCAATTTTAAATTATATCCCTAAAATAAACTGGATTCATATATCTTCTTTGATTCTACAACAGAAATATATAGTAGTATATACATTTTAATTTTAATTTTATTTATTATTTGTTAATCACAACCCATTTCACTAGCTAGGTGACTCTGGTGATTTACAAGAAAAAAAAAGATAAAATCCATATAAAAATCCATTAAAAATAGACAAAGATAAAAAGACGGAGAGCCACCACCAGGATATATCCCATTCTTGGATCCCCATGCAGGTTGACAGAACCAGTTCTTAAATGTTCTTCCAGAAAGCCAGCAGGGGAGACCAACCTCACCTCTAGTGTCAAGATATTTTACAGGGTGGGGCAATAGCAAATTATTTTTCTGAGCAGAATTAATGGTAGAGCCATTTGTGGCTACTGACAGATAGCAGTTAGAGCCTTCAGACTCTCAGCCTGGGCCTGTGAGTGAAAATTCAACTTATCAACTTCAACTTTTCACTGATGATATGAATGTGATTTTAATCTTCATTTGCCATTTTCCTAGGATAAAGAGAGAAACATATTTACTTTGCTGGCAGGAATATATAAAAATATTTTATTTCTTCTCATTTAGACCAGAAACAAAGTTTGCTCTTATTGCCTGCATAGTTATGTCTGTCAAGCCAGTGAAATGGAGACTATATAGTAACTATCTCATGTAGCATCTATTCTAAAGCAGTTCCAAAATAATAGATAATCTAACACTCACTGCAAATCATATGAGAATAACTGGCTAAGAAAATTAGAGTGTAAAGGGTATGTGTGTGTGTGTGTTCCATAAAACATCTAAGATATTTACAACATCTGTTTCCTATTATAACAAAACTTTCTCTGTTTAGAGCACTTGGACATCTAAATTCTGCTCATATTTTAAAATATGACACAGAAATGACACCTAGGAAAAGGAGGCTATTTTTCTAATCCAAGGCAATTTGGATGAGTTGAAATTTCAATCTCATACCTAGACTGAAGACTCTATTTGGCAGTAGTCACAAAGAGCTTTTCCATTAATCTG